AAGAGTCTTCAGATTGGGATGAACTATGAGGAACCCGACCCCCACAGTAACTTCATGATCCCTGGTCTACTGGTCTACTGATTGTGCTGACTCACCTAGAACAGATTCTTGGTGACCCCTGGAGAGGATCCTAAGGAGGGTGGGTCATAAGACATCCTTGGGCAATTCGGTCAAGCAATTCTTATTCTTTCTCAAAGATCCCAATATTGGTGGCATCTCTGAAATCCCATGGCCTTTCTCAATGGTCTACAACTGATAAAACCTTCTAAGAGCTAAGCACTCCTCTCTCCCAAGCTTGAAAATACTATCAACATCAAAAATATCACTCCATTGGAATGGGGCCAGTTTCTATGCAGTCATATTTTGTGAGGTGTCTGTGCCACCTTCATATACCCTCTCCCATGGTTTATGTCACTTTGAGAAAAGAACATGACAGTTGAGCAGGGAAAGAATAGGAAAGGGGGCAGGAAGTAGGCATACCCAAAGAAGAATAATGGTGCTCAGATTCCTCTACAGTTTATTGTTACAGCAGAAGTCATGGGAGACAGGAGGGCACTCTCCACACATGCTACAGTGTGGTCAAAGCCTCAGGGTAGGCCTTTCCACCCCTATGCCAAGCCCCAAGCAGCCCAGCCCAAGCTTAGCTCCTCCCTGTCCCACTCTAGATACACACCTACAGCTTACCAAAGTTAGTGCAGCCAAATGGCCCCAGGCCCCTCCTATTGCCCCAGTGCCAATCTTTACCCCATACACCATCATTGCCCACCACCTCCCATTCCAACTTCCTTTTTACACACTAGATGTTGCCATCACATCTTAAGAACACTAACCCACCAGGAAGTCTCCCTCCGACACACATTCACTCAGGCCCATACCCTTCAGCAGCCTGTAGGGTTAATGAGAAGCCATATCACCTTTGGTAAATGGAGCCCCAGCCCCAAATCCCCTCCCCTTGCAAATATGGGATAATTAGGGAGAGTCTGATAGAGGCACCATGACACTACTCCAACCTCTTATCCCTCATCTACAGACACCTAGATCAAGAAGAGACACATGCCCTCTCCACCTTAACACCAAAATGTAGGAGAAGGATAATTTAGGGGTCTGGGTCCCTAGGAGATATTAGGACATCTCTCCCAGCTGGGGGGAATCACAGGTTAAAGGTCAAAGTTAGGGTAGCAATCAAAGATGAAGGTCATCTCCCCACCTGATCTGCCATTTTCCCTTGCTTACTCCCACCCAATGCCCTTATGCACCTCCCAGGTTAGTTCTGGGGGAGGTGAGGGCTGGGTCCCACATTAAGGCAACAAAGGTCACTCAACAGGAGACCTCCATGGTGTGCCCTGGGGGTCCTGAAGAGAGAGTCCCAGACTCGCTGCTCTGGGACAAGGTGCGAGAGCGGGACCGGTTGCCATCAATGGATGCAGCACTAGTCAGAGAGGCCGTGCGAGACCGGGACAGGCGAGTCATACAGGATGAGGCCACTGTGGAGACAGAAGGATACAGATGTAGTCAGAGAGGAGGTGAGGACTGAGTGGGCTTGGATGGAGACAAGTCAGTGAGCTTGATTTGGCAGACAGCGGTGAGTCCAGGGATTAGCCTAAGATTAACCTAAGACCTTACCCCCTCAGTGCCCATCCCTCCTCTAGTGCAGCAATCCCTTGCAGCTGAGTCCCCATACTCACTATATCCCATGCCTTGCAGAAAGTACTTGAAGGCCTCCGTCAGCTTGCCTGGCTGTGGAAGTAAGGCAAGGAGGAGACAGAGAGATGAGGAGACATAGCTGGAGCCCAAGGCTATGGCAGTGTGGGGATGGGGTGGGTGGCAAAGGACAGAGTTCAGTGCCACTATCCTTTCCCACTTCTCCACCCCACAGACAGCAGGAGTACTCACCTGAGTCAGCTGGGGCTGTCCTCCGGAGTCAGCCATCTGTCAGCAGACAGCCACCCAGAAAAAGTGATGCACAAATTAATCAAATGAGCCGTGCAGAGTTAGAAAAGGGTCTCCCTTCCCAGCTTCTTCATCCCAGCCCCTTTGTTTTTTCCTTCATTCACCTCACTTGCTCCCCTGCAAGGCCCTAAAGGCTTAACAGCTGAATCTAGAAAGGACATATGGCTCTGGACAGGGGCCAGAACACAGGTTACTGACCTTGAGGAACGAGGTCTGGGTGGGGTCCAGTTTTGAGTTACATTCCACCTGCAGCAAGTGGGACGTGGAAAGAATGTGGCTATATTCCCTATTGACCCCCTTCCCTCCAAGGGACCCAGGGACCCAGACCCTACTCCCTTTCCTGTCAGCCCCCTACCCAGTTCCTCTTTACCAGGAATCAAATTCTTTTTGTTGTTGTTTGTTTTTGTTTAGCCGGCTGTGGCCTGGTTGGAACCCACCACCCCCAGAACACGGGGCCAGCGCTCTAACCATTGAACTACAGGCACCCAGCCTAGGAATCAAATTCTTAATGCCCCAAAGTTGATCTCCCTGTGTCAAGCAGGGTATCCCCTTGATAAGGTATCCTTCTGACCACAGCCTGGGGCCCCAGCCCTCCCTCCCTTACTCCTAAATTCCCTACTAACCACTGCATCTTCATGGGGTGCTTGGTCTCCTACCACCAGCATCACAGGACACCTAGAGCCATTGAATAGGGAAAAGGCAGTGAGCCCCTAGCACACCCTCACCTGCCTCTTGCTAGAAGTGCAGCTGCAGAAATGTCTGGCTCCAAAGAGGGAACAGCCTTCTGTTTCCCCCCACTCTGGCCCCACCAAGAGGATTCAAAAGGGAAAAACCTAGAGGGAAGTGATTTGCCAAAGTGGATGGTGTGGGAGGTGACAGGAAACCCCTGGCCAAAGACTCTCCTTCTCAGGAATATAATCACCCAGGGGAGACCCAAGTTGAGGGCCAAAGCTTTATCTCTTAAAGTCTTACTTGAGGGTGACATCACTTCCACGCTCAATATTCAGGTCCCGGCGGCTAGAGAGGGGTTAAAGAGCAGGAATTTCAGATAGGCAATGCTATCCATCCAGATGTATGCTAACTCTCCCATGAGGAAGCTATCTTCCTCCCCCAAATCATAATCAAATAAATATTGATGATTAAAAGTAGAGAGAGAAGGTGGCAGGCAGATCCCAGGCACAACCCCTATAAGTCACCTCTGCCCTAGATCCCTGGTCAGAGGGCAGCAAAGGGGGAGGAAGGGCATAGGACACAAGATCATTTTCTTCTGGGAATCCAAAAATCCAACAGAGGTAAACAAGACAAAGGGAACAGCTCCTCTCCATTCTTCTCACTGACTTTGTCCAAAGCTGCCCCAGTGGCACACCAATCCTGCCTTCCTTGCACATTGCACACTTCTCAGACTCCCCTCTTCTCCTCTGCACTTCCCCATGATGCCCAGTCAGTGCTTCTGTATTTCTGTCACACAAAAACACATGCACACACACAGCCCACCCACTTGTTGTAGCTGTTCCAGTACAGTTCAATGTTATCCAGGTTGGGTGCATGTGTGACGATATCTCTATACTTTTGTACCAACTCAGAATTTCTAGACAGCTCTTCCTGAAGGAGAGAACAGGGAGTAAAATTAGGATGGGAAAGAGAAGCCAACAATTACTGGAGGAAAAGAGGCAAGTCTTCCTCTTTCCCCAGATCCTGTTTTCTAGCTAAGAAATTTACCCTAAGCCTTCAGGTCCCTGCTGGTCCCCTCTACTCCCTCCATCTTCCACAACCACTTACCTGGCTGAAAAGATGTCCCAGGATCATCTCCGAAAGGGAAGAGGTGAGGCCCGTTAGCTGAGGAAAGGGCAGGTGAGAAAGTTCAGGACATTATGGGGAGGAGAAGACAATGTTTTTTTCCAATGAAGGAAAAAACAAAGGGGCTGGAATGAAGAAGCTAGGGAAGGGAGACCCTTTTCTACCTCTGCACAGCTCATTTGATTAATTTGTGTAGTTCAGGACATTATGAAAGCTCAGGACAATATGGGGAGGAGAGGCTCAGGCACAGTGACCTCGCTTTGCTTTCCTGCCCCATCACTGCACCTCCTTGAAGTCCAGAATCCACTTAGTTAAACAGACCCACACAAGGAGAACTCCCACCCTTGGTCTCAATACACAGGGCTCTCCAAACCTTGTGGGCTGCCCAATCCATCCAACCCTTGGCATTGGGATCAATGTTGATGAGGACAAGACCTTCGACTGTGTCTGGGTGGTTAAGCTGAGGGGCAGCAAAAGGAAGGAAATCGGAAACAGGGCAAGGCCTTCTCCCTTCCCCACTGAGCTCTGCCCTCTCTTGGCCTCCCATCTCCCATCAGGCTGGACTCCTGACCCTCCCACACACACTAGTGAATAATACTCCCCTAATCAGTCCTTTCTCTCATCTAGGTATTTTTTATTCCTTACAGCATATCGTGACAGTACATAGGCTCCAGCTCCAACACCAACTCCAATTATTGTAGAGAAACTGTAAAAGGAAAATAAATTTATGTCTCCTGGGCTCCAGTGTCCAAAACCTGCCACAGTCTCTTCAAACTCTTCACCCTCCTTCCTGAGGCCACAGGCACAAAGAAAAACAGGAAGGGGATTACTTTTGAAAGATGCTAAAAAGAAGGTTCCAAGAAGCTAAAGGCTGGCACTGCTGGTCAGTGTAGATGCCTGAAGCCTATCCCTCACTTCCTCTTGGAGAGTTAGTGTCTTGAAAAGGAACACTCATCTACCAACCAACCACCCAGATGCACTGTTTCCCTGTATAGATAGCTCTTTGTCCATTCTCAATTTTCAGGAGCTCGTTCAACTTGTTTTGCTTTAGTTCCTGGTTCCTCTAAAGTAATGGGAAGCATGGAAGTTAAAGCAAGATGTGAAAACAGACACTGCTTTAGCAAACAACAAGGAGAGTGGGGGAAACAGAGGCAACAAAGTGAACCAGAGCTGCTGAGAGCTCTGGTGTTTAGGAAAAGCCAAGCCAGGAACAGTACCCAGAAGCCAGCTTACCCCTCTGAGTGTCAGAGACACCTGGCCCGGCTTTCCCTTCCTTCCCCCACTCTCTTTTACCCACAAGGCTCCCAGTCCACCAGGTTGGGTATGAAGGAGGGAGAGTGGGAGGGAAAGAGACAGGTCTGTCTGGTTTCTCAGAGATTATGTCACTCCTTCTCTTCTTTCTTGATTTTCTGATCAGAGAAGCCCCTCCTCAGCTTGAGTCAGGGCCAAGCCTAGACCTTTCCTTTTCCTTCCTCCATCCATTAGGGCCATTCTGCTGAAATTTTCCAAATCCACCACCCTTCCTTACAACAATCAAGGTAGGAGCATGAAAGAGAAAGTGTATGTGAAGCACTGAGGGCCAAACTAGCCCAAGTTCCAAGGTGGACGCAGGAGTTCTAAAGGTCTCCTTGTGCTAGAAAGAAAACTTTGGTTTGGAGGGGTCTCCAGGCCTCTCACTTTAAGTACTGCAGGATGCAAGGGATCATGTCTGCCAGCTGGTCCAGAGATGGGTACTGATATCTGGGGAAGAGAGGCATGTCAAGGAACATTCCAAACTGCACCCACACACACACCCCCACTTCAGGATGTCCTTCTCATCCTCTCCCAGAATCACCACTGCCCTCCCTTTCCTCCTCCCTCATCCAATCTTCCCCACTCCTGCCCTGAGCCTCAGTCTAGTAAAGGGGTAAGGAGCTAATTTTTACCCTAAAGGGAACACAGGAGCCCCCTCTTCCATTCCAGGGGCATCCACATGAACCCGCACGAAGTTCTGAATGATTTCTTGCATATCCCCGAATTGAAACAGTGGCTGGAAGCAAGTTTTATCTAAAGAGAATCCACATCACCCCAACAATAAGATCAGACAGGAAAAAGTGTCCCCAAGTCAGAATCAACCCCATTCCATGCTGAGAGAAAACTTCTGCCCCTACTGACCCCTCCCTCCCCACTGGGTTCATACCCTTCCCCCCAGCCTCTTTCCAGAAAGGAGTGGGGGGAAGGGCGAAATGAAGGTCCTTACAGTTGAGTCCCACATCATGGTAGGTGAGTATTGCTGGACGTTTGGGTTTGGGGGTGCCATAGACAGTAAAAGTGACAGAGCCATAAGGTGTCTCCACAGATAGAGTCTGCAGGAAAAAAAGTCACCATCAGGTAGGAGTTAGGCTGAAAGGAAATGGAGCCAGAGAAGGAGCATCACTGAAGTCAGGGGGTCGGGTGGGGAGAGACAAAGAATTAAAAATAGGATCAGCAAGAATTTAGGAAGAGGTGACAGTGGAAGATGAGTTTGAGGGTGGGAAATAATAAGGAAAGATTAGAGAGAGAATGGAAGAGGAAGGAAGGAGAGGGGACAGATGGGTATGGGAAAGGACTAGGAAAGGAGAGGAAATGAAGAGAAGAGAGGGAGGTCAGGGCCCTCTCTTCACTGGGGACAGAAGAGGCCTTCCTCCCACCCTGGGACTACCCCCAAGCTGTTACCTGTCCCTGGTCCAGGAGGATTCGGGCCGCTAACTCAGCCTCCTGGAGAGACACACACACGCACAGATACAGAAACACATGACCGTACAGAGTCACAGATGGAGAGACAGACACAAAGAGAAGTAGGCAGAGACATGGACAGAGACCAAAGACAGAAAGATTGACACAAAGAGACATGGAGAGGATGAAGGTTAGTGCAGTGAAGACAAGGGCATGGACTCCCAACTGTAGCACATGGGGAGAGAGACTTCAATAGAGGTGGAAAAAGTAGGGGTGTGGGTTAAAAGGAGATCAGCTGACTTGGGAGGTCAGGAGGCAAGGGCAATGCTTAGAGGTCTGGAATTCTGGCATGGCAGTCAGAGGGTCTCTAATAACCTTGGCTGCCTCAGGTGTCTGTCCTGGCAACAGTGGCTTCTCCTCTGTGATCTGCACCTCCTGCAGCTCCGCCATTGTGGCCTGGTAGGGTGAGGAAACAACACTACTGGGAGATTGTCTCCACACCCCACACCTCCTCAAATACCAGGCTTTCTCGCTTAGCACAAGATAACGCAGGATGCAGAAGGACCTGGGACAGATGGCCTTTCCTGCCCCAGCTCCATTCCCAGACAGTCTTGGAGGAGGGATTGTGGAAGAGGAATCAGGACACTTCTCCTTTTCAGAGTAGCCATCCCACCACCACACCTCCAGATCCCCTCCCTCCTCTGTCTTGGACTGAAATACCAGGGTGGGGCAGCAGTGCAGCTCGGATTTCCCAGGCTATATTTAGGGGTCACCCCACACTCTCAGATAGAGGGTGAAACTCATAGCTTAGTGACTGGGTACTCTAAAGGTACCAAGGAACAGAGTAATAAAAGTTCACAATTGACTATGACCTTCAACTAAAGCCCCAAGGTCAGCAACTCAAAGGAAAAGGGGCTAAAAGTGACCAAAGCAACATGACAAATGGGAGGAAGGAGTAAACAACCAAAGAGGAACAAGTGTGTCCTATAGATCCGTGCCTCCCTTCCTCCCAAGCCTCTCCCTCCCAACTATGAATAAATTAGCATACATCCAACGTTAGTGGGGCAGAGGAGCAGGGCACCTGGAGAGACCTGCACCAGAAGCACCCTGGGGGGTGGGGTCACTTACTAGGCTCCTATTGGCTGGATGCAGTGGGATTAGGGGTCAGGGTTTTCACTCCTCCTGACTCTGGGGTCTGAGAAAACACAGCCATGAGGTGAATGACATGGCAGACAGACCCTGGGTCTTCTAGGGACAAAGAGCTTCAGCCAAGACCCAGACTCTCTCGGGGTCACTAACCCTCCTCGGGTCACTAACCCTCCACAATCGCTACCCCTGAGTCCAGAGAACACCACCTCTCTAGGCTTCAACTAGAATCAATATGGGCTCAAGTGGCCTGTGGGGCAACACAGCAGGTATCAGTCTGGGCTGGGGGAGGAGAGAAGGAAGTGATGATGTGGAGTAAAGAGCCTGACTGTGTCAGAACCTCTAGATTCTAATCCCGGCTCTGCCACTACCAGTGTGACCTTGGCCCAATTAGTTACTACTCTTGGCCTCAATTTCCTGTCTGCAAACCAGAAGGGGATAAAGAGATCCCCAAAATTTTTGACAGCTGCCTAGTTAGATGGGGGTAGCAGAACATGAGTGTTTCCCTCCATCATTTAAAAACAAACCAAAAAAGAAGCGTCGTGCCTGCGCTTCTCCCCTCCACCTAGTCTCTGCAGGTCCGGAGAGCAGAGAAAGGGAGGCGAGGGCAGTCCCGCAATCTCCTCCCAGTTTCCCCCGACGGCCCTCGAAGGCAAGCGCCAGCTGGGAAGGGATGGGTGGGACGGATGGGACTGGCTGGACTCAGCATCCAGAGCCTGTTCCTACTAGTCCCTGTGCTCCATGCATGCGTGGAAACCGACACCTCTGCGCGGCCCCCACGGTGTGCCTTGGACTCTGGACGGAAACCTCGCGCACACCCCAAACACGCCCTGCTGCTTGCAGAGCTTCAGCCTTTGTGCACTGCAGCCGAGTGCCCCCTCCCTGTGGACCTCTTCCCGGGAGCCGTCAGATCCAGGAGATTGGGATCTAACAGCCCACCGGCCCAGCTGGCGCCTTCCAGGCCCCGCAGCCCTACGTCTGCCCCTCCCCCTACCTGCTGCCGCCTCGGCCGCTTCCACCTTCACTTGCCTTTGACTCGGGCCCGCCCCGGCTCCGGCTCCCCACAGACCCGCCCCCGGCCCGCCTCAGCCCGCCCACCAGCCGGCCGCTCCCGGTAGATCCGCCCCGGACCCCCAGTAAACACGCCCCCCTTTTACCCCGCCCCAGACTGCACTCAGGGAGGGGCTGTGCTGGGGGCGGGGCTGAGGTGGGGTGGGGGAGACTGTAAGGATAGCAAACCTCTGGGTGCTTCCAGGCTCCGCTGCGTTCCCCACAACATCCTACCCCCACGGGGCGGTGTGGGGTGTGCGGGGATCCCTTAACTCTGAGAGGGAGCTCTCGGCTGCCCTAGACACCGCCCCGATCCATGACCTGGATCTGCCTTTCGCCTACAGACCCAGGGTGGGGGACAGATATGAGGGAGGCAAACCCGGGGTAAAGACACCCCACGACTTCGACTCCACCCGCCCGTAAACTGAGAGCTATGTTAAGGAAGGAGATGGTGGGCAGGCGTCGCGCCAAAAAGGCGGGGGTCTTGCGGGCTGGGAGGGGTAGCTGTGCCGGCACCGAGTGGCGGGGGGACCTCGAGGGCGCTGGAGTTCCGACTCCCGGGCGCCCAGGGTCTGGTACCTCCTCTCTATGCTGCGTCCCGACGCCTGCACTCCGGCTGCTCGGTGAGAAGTTGGACAACAAGGCGGGGAGGGGGGAGCGGAGAATGTGGGGGGCCGCTATAAATAGAGGGCAATCGAAGGAGGGGGGAGAGGATGACCAACAGGGACTCCCGGGTCAAGGCCTCAAAGGAGGCGGGGGAGGGGCCGGGGACCCCCCAGAGGCTCTGACTCCTGGGTAAACAGGCGCAGGGGCGGAGTTAACCCTGCGGGGGTGGAGTAGGGGCTTGGGGAGGACGCGGTGTCCCGGGCTGGAACCCAAGAGACCCTGTGGCTTTGGTGCTAACCCCTCCCAGTCCAGCCCAGAAAAGGAGGGAGAGACCAGCTCAGACTGGCTGAATCGCAATACCCAGGCGATGGTCTCAGGGATTGCCGTCTCTCTCTGTTCCTGAGTGGGTTTACCACCCCAGCCTTCACACACATACCCCAGATGCACCCTCCCTCAGCCCCTCAGAGGAAGGCTCCCTGGAACAGAATAATTGATGTGGCTAAGGAAATTTGAAGTTGTCTTAAGCAAAAGGAAACCAGATTGAGTTTCTCCCCCCCACCCCCCTTAAAGCTCCCCCCATCCCAGGATCATCCCCACCCCATCCCCCCTTCAGCCTGGTTCCTGAGTTGCCATTTTGGGGGCTGGGCACCAGGCCAGTTAAGAACAATGGCCGATGGAACTTGAGCTGCCAACTGCAACACTAGCATAGACTACCCCCCCAAGACCCCCAAATTGTCCTCCCCCCTCTTGCCTGGGAACCACCCTCCCACCACCACCCTCACCACCCGCAACTCCCCTCTCATCCAAGGAACATCAATGCCCCTTTCATCCCCACTTGGCAGGGTCTATTGGAAAGAAGAGGCCAAGAGGGAGGTGGTGACCCAGAGTAGGAGAACTGGTCAGGCTCAAACTCAGCCTTCAACAACCCCAAATGTAAGGGCTTCCAGTATATCCCCCAATTTGGAGGACTCTTTTCTTCTGTTCCCTTCTCCCACTCCCTTCATAACTTTTTCCGCAGAAACTGGCACAGAAGCTGCACACCCTGGCTCCTGGCCTGGTCTCCTCT